AATTTGCATGTTATCCTTGTTTACCTAACTTCTTTAAGACAACACACAAAGACCAAGACCGAAAAAGTCATATTTAATGACTGCTCTATGTCATCTGCCACGACCATATTGAAGATTGCTAGTTCTAAAACTGATGCAGGTTGAACGGCTTAGTTGGAGTGAACTGGTACCTCACATAGGAATAGAAGAGGTTAACGACGAGCTCGATAAGCGAACTACCAGAATATTTGACGATTTACGTCAAGTGGCCTCCGTTTGCAACGAAGATGGAACTTTAATTGTAAGACTAAAAGCACGGAAAAATGAATTTATTTTGGCACGCGATCAATATCTCAGGACAGTTCTACATCTTGCAGCCGGCATTGGACACACAAGACTTTTAAAGTGTTTGGTACACGCAGGAGCACCTATAAATGTTCGTGACGGAATTGGCCAGACTGCTCTAACTATATCGCTTCACAAAAATAATGATGCAGCGAGTGTCTTTCTTATCGAAAGTGGCGCTTGTGTTCAGGAATACTACTACGAAAATACTGTTTCTCCACTGGCAATTGCAAAGTTGCACAAAAATGATATCGTCGAATTTCTGGAGAAACGTATCGGAGACGAAAAAAGAGTGTTAGATCACGTTTCTAAATTTTTTCCTAAGAAAATTTCTGGTTCACCCGTGGATATGAATGTTGATCATGTCAACCATAAAGAGAATTTTTCACGTGCACTGAACATAAACATTGGTGACCAAAAAAACACGGTGACTGTTATTGGTTGTGCTAACGCTTGCCCTGATATTTATGGTTGCCACACCCCAGGTACGGGAGATTTTCATAATCGCGGATACCTTAATGAGACAGTGGCCAGAATAGGAGGGCAAGGAGGTTTTTGGCATGTTGTCGAAAACGTTATGAAGAGACCAACAGTTAACCCGACGTCCTTCAAGCAAAAATTCAAGGACAACAATTATAACAATAACGAGGAGGCACTATACGACTACGAGGACGGATTGAGTATCGCTATGATTAAAGAATTTGAAAAATCCTCCTTTTTTCCAAGTAAGTCCGATCTGGCTTCTTGTCTTCTTAAAACTGGTAACCACAATAACGTTTTATTGTCAAAGTTTAAAGAGTGGCAGGAAAGCTCAAAAGGAGACGCGATATTTAACTACCAAGTAAATCTTGTAAATGATCTTATTCCACTAAGCCGATGGTACAAAGAATCGATTAGAAATGGTAATGGTCACGCAATCGAGGCTGTGTGGATGCTCTGTCCCGAGTTATATGCCCAAATAGGAAAGACAAACTATAGGGATGAAAGCTTAATTCATATTGTAAATTTCGCTACTAAATGGCCATTAGCTTACAGAAAACTGTTTCAGAGAAATAGAACAGTAAATATAGAAGGAATACAAGGGAAACAACTCGCAGATGACGAGTGGGTTGAAGACCATCTTGTTTACCCAGTGAAAAAGTATGCCAAAGGCCAAACGTCGTTCTCCGTTTTAGAAATGATGTCATGCAGTTCAAATTTGTTGGAGCTGGATAGAAAGATGTATAAATCCCGCGAGGCGTTCAACATTCACAGAACAAGAAGGCACTGTACACCCCCGTCACTGTATGACCAACTAAAGGTAGCCCAGTTTGCTTCAAAGGAAGAGTGGTTTGTGGATAAAGGCCATCCTGTGGTTTATAAATACGCTTGGGGTGAGAATACGTTAAAGGGAGGAGAAGCAGTTTCATCCAGATCCATTGACGCTAGAACGAAGGGAAAAGAAAAACTACAGTTAGAATTTCTTTCCTTTCTTCACAGAAAATTCCCAAATGAAATGAAGTAGTGCATAAATAACTATATGGACTGATGGGTCGGCCTTTTTCAAGGTTTTGCTCAATTATTAGAGGTTCATATTATTTTACAGAACGTAGACAACGAATAGACAGTTCTATTAATACAATAACTTCATATTAACAAAAATTTAAGTAGTTTTGATTTCTTGGGTTACACCCATTGCTTAGAGGGTGTTGATATGGTTTATAATAGAGCTGAAAAAATTATACTGTGTTGTTTATGAAATTTTATGCATATAATACAAATGCATTACAAGCATAAATGTGTCAAATGATGGCGTTTAAGGAGGCATTCTTAAAAAGGGAAAGGTGTGCAATACAAAAAATCCCTATCCCATATTATAATATACCAAGAAAAGCCAATGGTCTTGATATATTTTTCAGGCAGTTTGATCATACAACCCTCAAGCATTTCCTTTTATATATAAAGTGTACATGATGTACATGTGCCTAAAGTTTTTCATACTTTGGGACATATACAGTAGAAGCCAACAGGTTATGTGCATTTGGTCCTAGACAAATGGATATGGATACACTATTTTTCTTTGTTTCTACAGTTTCTGACAAAATATCTTTGTAAATAAGTAAGTGTATGAATTTCTCAAGAAGGATAACAGGAACAAATTGCTTGCTCAGCACACCAAAGTTTAAAAAGCTGTCCAGGTTACTTTCTAGGATACATTTCTGCCTACTTCCAGCCAAAAACAACTTAAGAGTGTTTCCACTTAATTTCTTGCCTGTAAGTTCAATTACTGCCCGAATAACGTTTAAGGCATCTGTTGTTCCATCAGCTGTTACATACTTTCCCCTGCTGCGGCAGTTATCACAACTTGTGTTACATGTAAAACCATCACATTTTTCACCATAATATGTTCTAATTATTTTATGTCTGCATTGTACAGGGTCTTCAAGACAAATGACAATATCACTAAGTGCCTTGTACTGCTGGTCAAAATTATCATGGTGCTTGAACATGCTAATTAAAGCAGTTCTATCACTATATTTGTGATATATGCAGCAGGTTGCGGGTTCTCCATCACGGCCAGCCCTTCCAACTTGTTGGTAATAATCATCAATACTGGTTAGCAACTTGACATGGACAACATATCGAACGTCTCGTTTATCGATGCCCATACCAAAAGAAGAATTTGCAATGATTACATTTACTTCACCACTAATCCATTTTGAAAAGCTTGACTCCTTTACACTCTCAGACAACTTACCATGATATTTCACACAGTTCAAACCTCGTTTCACTAGTTCAGAGTGGATTTTAGTGACATCATTTGAGAGAACACAATATATTATGCCACATGATGCTTGATCTTTTATGTATGAATACAACTCGTCATAAAACTTGGTATTACATTGCCGATCCTTAACTTCAATGAAAAGATTATTCTGGAATACTGTTTCTCGCAGAACTGTTACACTTCCAAACATTTCTTTCAGAACTGCCACTTGAAACTCTGGAACTGTCGCACTCAACAAAAGTTTTGGACATTCAAGACCACTCAGTTTCTGACATACAACCTTATATACTGGTCTAAATGTATCGCCCCAAGATGATATTGTGTGGGCTTCATCAAAAACAAGTCTTTCAATCTCAATAGTTTCAAATTTCTCCTTGAGACATCCTTCATACAGCATTTCTGGTGTTGTAAAAATAAGTTTAAATTGTGGTAATTTGTCTAACTGTTCATTTTGGACAGTCAACGGTACACTTCCAGTGAATTTGCAACAGGAAATATTTAAATCTTGGCAACGAATCACAAGGTCATCAATAAGGCTTTTTGTAGGTGAAACAACAAGCGTTGGCCGGGATGCAAGCACAGCTGGTAGCATAAAAGTCAATGATTTCCCACTGCCCGTTCCCAAAACTCCAAGAACATTTTCTCTTCTCAATGTTGCAGTAATTATTTCTTTCTGAAGTGGTCTAAAGTTATCGAATCCAAAATAATTGTTAAATGTCCTGTTTAATAGCTCCTCTAAGTCATTTGAAATAGTGTTCACGCATTGGTCCAAATTGTTTATATCAGCAGCTGGTTCTGATCTGACTTTCTCGCCGAGTTGACTTGCTGAAGTATTATTTTCACGTTCCACATTTTCGTCGGCTCTCCCAGCGAATAAAGACTTAACAACTATCAGGTCTTTGAATTCTCCTTCATTAAAAAGATCGTAATAAAAAATTCGACCTTCTTCGTCCTCGCAAACGAACGAAACGGATTTTGTGTTCGAGTCTATAAAGCCAAAATAGCATAAACCATATCCAAAACTAACTGCCGCCTCGAATTCTGAACTCGCTTGTACAACAATGTTTACTCCCTGCCCATTTAATACGAAAGACTTTACATTTTCAGGGTCAAGAGGAAGAATTGATTTAAGTTTATCAGACAGCTTCTGAATTTTGCTTTCGCACTCTTCAAACGTCGCCATTTTGTGATAAACAATACTATACTTATGGGAGGAAGGGTGAAGTACAAAGTCCTGTAGGTGAAGTACCCGGTACATAAGGCTCCCGATATGGCAGGCAACTCCGCCTTTTCTCCTCGCCTCACTTTTCCCCCAATTTTCCCTCTTTATCCCTCAACTATCCCTTACTGTAACTATCAAATCAACTATCCCTGACTATCCCTCATGTGTTTCAAGAGTTGCCTGCGGAGGAGGCTATGAAATTACCACGTCTGGTCACACTGCACAGAACATAAAAATATCATATATTTTTAAAATATTCCGATGTCATCTTGTTTTACTTCAGCCCTGTTTTCGCACATTTCATAATTTTCTCTTGTCCAGTCCTAGATTGAGATCAGTTTTTCTTATCTGCGCGTGCGCATTACGTGTTTTGTGCTCACGCGCATGCGTATTTGCAACACAACAATGGCGGTTCATGGATTCCGAAACACGAGGAAGACGTGAACTTTGAAGAGCTTATACTTCAATTTGTGCAACTATTTCGCTTGGGGGGAAGTGGATTCTAACTAAGTAAGTTATAATCTATAGATTCATGTAAAAATTATGTAGTTACACGAGGGGTGCTACGGAATCTGTTTTCTAAGCATATTTTCGACCCTCATCTCACAGCCTATTAGATCAGTAAGCCTCATTGTGTCACTTGCAAGCAAAATTGTATGACCTCTGCGGCAAAATACTTCGAAATTATACTTTTGGAACAGATATTTCGTGGATATAAAACAACGGTCAGTAACACAGTATTATTCAGTGAGACGCAGTTTATTCAAATAAATAGCTCTACCGCGGACAAGCGCTTTTACTCCTCTGGTGGACAAAGGAATACGTTGGCTCAAGTATTGATGTATGATTCAGTGAGAGTGTGAGACGCAGTTTATTCAAATATATCTCTGCCGCGGGCAAGCGCTTTTACTCCTCTGGTGGACAAAGAAATACCTTGGTTCAAGTACCGATGTATGATTCAGTGAGACGCAGTTTATTCAAGTATAACTCTACCGTGGTGAAGCGCTTTTACTCTTCTGGTGGACAAAGGAATACCTTGGTTCAAGTACAGATGTATGATTCAGTGCGACGCAGTTTATTCAAGTATAACTCTACCGTGGTGAAGCGCTTTTACTCTTCTGGTGGACAAAGGAATACGTTGGCTCAAGTACCGATGAAGTTAAATGAAACCGCCGCTGGGGGGAATTATAACAAGATCGAGAGGCTAAACACGAATTCAACAAGCGTCATTTGATATCATTCGTGTATCAATGTATGCACATGTTATCACAGAATTCGGGTATAGTAATTGTCGAACGCCAAATGTATCTACTATTCACGCTAAAACGATCTGTATTTCAATGTCAATTTTATTACCATCTTGAAGTTATTAACCGGCCAGATTGGGCCTCTGATTCGGGGATTGGGTTTTAATAAAGCGTCACATTAAACTGTATTCAATCATGCAAAAGTAGATTATATAAAACTTCCTTTCTAGCTATTTCAGGGCACTCTTTAATAAAACAAACACTAATTTGAACGGTATACATTATCAACACTTTACTGGGCAAAACATAGGAAATCAAGTTCATGTGTGAGAGAAATTTAGGGTCTATTTTATCTACATTTGCGATAAATCGGAAAGTTGGATGACATGAAAGATTGCTACGTACAGTGTATGGTATGTCGATACTCATGAAAATTCATTAATGTCTTATCACTATACTGCATTATCTATTTAGTATACCAAATACATATTCTCACAATTTCTGCTACTCTCATGCATGCATGCATGCATGCATGCATGATTGCATGTTCAATCACAACACTGTGGTTATATACCTGAATTGCATTTTGATCCTGCTATTTTAAAATATTGAACAAGCTATTTTTCTGAGATTAAAGTCACATAATTCGAGAATATATATTATGTCAAGTTCCACCAATCATAATTCAAGTAAAATAAGTGGGGTTAACAAATACATGTTCCAAAATTGTTAATGAATACATTTACATTAAAAATAAATAAATTGTAAGGAAAACAAAAAAAATGATGGTGAGCTTTGTTTGTCGTGTTACCAACCATCCAATCAAGCACTTGTAAGATGGAAGCTTTGTGGGGAAGCTGCTGGTTGTCTTGACCCCATCCAAGTTTCCTGTAAAGATATTGCAGGTTTTTCCTGGCTTCCCAGATGTTCCAGCTGTAGCATGAGTGATGGTAATGCTCAAATATATGTCTTACGATTATCTGGCAGAGCTGTCTTCTATACGATTACAGTTGTGATGTGAGTTGGGTTTTTTCGTCTATGGGGAATACACATGCGTGTATTTGTGGGGATGGAGTTCTCCCAAAGGTCACCTTCAACCCCATAGACTCACACAAATCAATGTATTATACAGTCTATTGTAAAGTAAACAATGACCATCAGGGGGATCTACTACCCCTTGTACATTAAAGTAAACAATGACCATCACGGGGATCTACCATCCCTTGGACATTAAAGTAAACAATGACCATCACGGGGATCTACTTCCCCTTGGACATTTAGGATGCCTATTTCGGGGATCTACTACCCCTTGTGTAAAGTCCAACATGGGGGAATCACGACCCCCAGAGGACATATAATTATATCATAATCATATTGCTGTAATAGTGAGTCTGTGGGGCGACACTTTGGCCACAGTTTAAAGTATAATCAGAGCAATTCTCCTCGACAACCCTTCTCCCAAAACATTGTGTGTGTCATAGTTGTTTTCTTAATTGTCTTAGAATATTTGCTTAACGAATTGGTGCATTAAAGAAACAACTTAGCCAGTATCTCCCTAATTAACCAAACGATTAGTCCGAACTAGAGCGCTCAAAGTAGTTTACTGACTTTCCTTCTCTCAAATACAAGATCGCTTTTATCTTATTCTTACTAATATGTCAGACACATGTGACTCTCCTAAGGTGATCGCACCCATCGGACTCAGCGACCATAATTCCGTTTTATGTATTTAAAAAAAAACGTAAATCATTGAACGGATGCAAGAAAATAAAAATCAGACCCGGTAACAGAGGTGCCAAGACTGCATTTGGAAGATGGCTAACGAACTATAATTGGACTAACCTGTATCATACTGCACTGTGTGAACAAAAACTGGAACTTTTTCAGGATGTTATTCATACCGGCTTAGACAACTTCCTCCCATGTAAAGTAGTTAAAATGCACGACCGAGATAAGCCTTCGATAACTCCGGCATATAAGGAACTTATTAAAAGCAGACAAAAGGCATTTTTTTAGAAAAATGACAAATTGTACCGTCGACTACGTAATCGTGCTAAATGAGAAAGTAAGAACCTTAAATCTGCATTCTTGGAACATAAATTGGAACAATTGAAATGTAATCCTGATCCTAAGAAATGGCGGGACACTGTGAAACAAATAGCTGGCTACCCTAAGAAGAAATCTTTTTCAAGTTTTGTCCTAGGAGACCAAGTCGTCTCTGGAAAGCAACTTGCTGAAAAATTCCGTTACTCGAGATATTCCTCCCCTTAGCCCTATCCCTTCTCCACCCAATTACAAAGCAATTGTACTACTATTCCAACCGAGTACATAATTAGGGAAGAAGACATTTATTATAAATTATCTTCAATATCATCTTCGAAAGCGGCTGGCCCAGATGAAATACCGAATTGGGTTCTAAAAGATTATGCTCCCCTGCTGGCTCCTCCTGTTACTTCAATCTTCAACGCCTCCCTTCAACAGGCGTCTGTTCCCGCGGTATGGAAAAAAGCCGACGTCATCCCTGTCCCTAAAAATAAGGTGCCGAGTGACATTACTAAAGACTTGCGTCCCATCTCGCTTACTGCCACTTTGTCAAAAACGTGTGAACGTTTTGTCGCAGACTAGCTGATGGAGTTGATTGGTGAGAAGATCGATAAACGACAATTTGGATCCCTAAAAAACTCCTCAATAACACATGCATTATTGAGCCTTCTCCATCACTTATTAAACGAAACTGATGTCCAAAAAACGCTGTGAGAATTTTTTTATTGGACTTCTCCAAAGCTTTTGATCATATTGATCATAACATCCTCCTCAGTAAATTATCTGATATGAACATTCCATCGTTAATAACAAACTGGATAAGAAGTTTTCTTACTCGACGAAGCCAACGGGTCAGAATGCCCCATTGTGTGTCAGAATGGCAAATCTTCAACGGTAGATTACGCCAGGGAACTGTTTTAGGCCCAATCTTCTTCCTAATCATGATAAATGATCTCCTCGCTGATTGGAAAGACCGATGGAAATACGTTGACGACACCACCACTACTGAAACCATTGGCCCAGATTGTAACAGCAACCTTCAAGAACTGGCTAATTACATCGATAATGGGACTACGAATAATAATATGAAACTAAACATTGGAAAATGCAAAGAACTGGTTATTGATTTTGCAAAAAAGAAGGATTGCTTTCCCCCTTTAACAGTGGATGAAGTTAATATTGAACGAGTGAAATCTGCCCGTATTCTTGGCCTCACAGTTCAAGATAACATGAAATGGAATGGACATATAGACAACATAGTTAAAAAAGCTAGCAAGAGGTAAGGCTGCTAAAATGGTCCAACGCGTGTATTGACACATTAATTACTGTATATACTACCGTAATTAGACCTGTTTTGGAGTATGCGTGCCAGGTCTGGCATTACAATATCCACGAATATTTATGTGAAGATATTGAAAAAATACAAAACGTGCATTGAGAATCATCTTTCCATCGCAAAAGTATGACGAAGCGCTGATCACGAGTAATATCACGTCGCTGAGAGATCGCCGAGAAAAATTATGCGAACATTTCTTTGAGAAGAACATTGACAATGAAAATCTCAAAGATCTTTTACCACAAACAATTTTATCTGGTTATGATCTAAGACCGATATGTAAATATCATAATTATGTTTGTAGAACTGAACGTTTTAAGAATTCGTTTTTACCT